GGTCAGGAGGGAAACCGGGGGGTGCCGGGCAGGGGGCAGCGAAAGGGGCAGGGGCCAAATTCCACGCATGGAAGAGGCCGCACGGCAAGCTCCTGCCGCAGTGACCCCATTACTATGGACAGGGCAGGCACACTGTAAACGGCCGGGGAGGGCGGGAGGACCCAGGGCGGGGCGAGGTGCGGTGAAGAGGGCACACGCCGAGCTGAAGGGTGGACGTCCTTATGCGCAATGACTGGTCCACAGGCGCAAGGATGGCTGGGTGATTGAGGGGGTCGACGGGGAGGTATAAGGTCAGCAAGTGGAGGGATGGACACTGGCAGGTGCACAGGTGCGCGGATGGTGAGGGGTCTGCGTGGAGGTGAGGGGTCAGCGGGGAAGAGAGGGGTAAGCAGGGTGGAGTGACGATGATGGCAGGGGCACAGCTGGGTAGATGAGGGAGAGGTCAGTGGGGAGGTGAGGGGTCAGCAAGTGGAGTGATGGACACTGGCAGCGGCACGGGGGTGGATGGCGAGGGGTCAGCGGGGAGGTGAGGGGTCAGTGGGGTGGTGAGGGTCAGCAGATGGAGTGATGAACTCTGGCAGGGGCACAGGGGGTGGACGGTGGGTCAGCAGGGAGGTGAGGGGTCAGCGGGGAGGTGAGGGGTCAGCAGGTGGAGTGAGCGACACTGGCAGGGACACGGGGTGGATGGTGAGGGGTCAGTGGCCTGATGACCAGACAGTCCAGAAGTTGGAGTGACGGACGCTAGCAGGGGGCTGGGTGAAGGGTAGGTGAGCAGGTAGCATTACTAGTAAGGCCAGAGTAGTGGGTGGGTGCCAGGTGGACGGTGGGCTGACAGGGTGGTATCAAGTGCTGGGCAGGTGGGTCTGAAGACTGAGTAACGGGTGAGCAGAGACGGAAGTTTACTTCAGCGGGAGGAACAGGTGACTGGAGAGAGAGGCCGATAAGAGTGGGCACTCAACGTGTGTGAGCGGCCACTGGACAGACACATGGCTGGGTGGATAGATGAAGAGAGGGACGAGGGCAGAGTACTGGACGAATGGACAGCGCTGCACAGGTGAACAGAGGGATGGATGAACGGCGGGGCGGGAGGAGCTGCTCGGAGTGGGCAGACCTGCGTCGGAGAGGACGTCGGGACAGACACGGTGGGGTAGTGTAAGGGACAGATAAACCACTATCGGATTTCTCCAGTTTTCAAAGTGCCCACTCAAGTCCACAGAGAGCAGCAGCCTCGGGTTTCGGCTGTTTGACTCGAGAGCCTCTGCTCACGGTGCCATGTGCAAGTCAGGACACAATCGGCACAGGTTCCCGGGGCAGCCAGCCTCGAGCTGCCTCCACCCACAGCCCTCCACAGTGGCCACCAGGCCCGGGCCCGGGCATCCCGGCCACACTGGACTGGGGGCTGCTGGGGTGCAGCGGATGAGAAAGCTAGCTGGGGGGGCTGGCTGGGAGGCACCACCCTCCCGTTCCCTGGCCTCACCTTCCGGAGGGCCCCAGGGAACCCGCCTGAGCTCACTGTCAATCACTGACTCACTGAGCTGGGACTCCAGCCGGCCTCCTGAAGGCAGAGTGTGCCCTCTGGGGGCCAAAGGGACGCAGGGTATTTTGGCAACAAGATTTTTTAAAAACTGTGAGCTCTGTATCTGAAGGTTAGCAGGAAGGAAAAAAGCAATAAAAATAAATAGGTAAGATGGGTGCAGGGAAAGGCCAGATACGGTAACAACTGTCAGGGGCCGTGGAGTCGCCGGCGACCCACAGCGACCCTGTGGACAGCTGCTCTGAAGCCGGCCCTGTCCTGAGCCGTCTCACTGACTCCAACACGCCTGTCCTGACTACCCCAGTTACTCGATCAGCCCATCCAGGGTCCTCCTCTCCTGCGCTGTCCCTTAAATTAATGTTGGAAAACAAAAATGTCTATGACTGTAAACCTAATCATTTGTAAACCTTCACTCAAGAAACAAAAGAAGAAAGAAAAAAAAAGTTTTAGTTAAAAACAAAACAAAAACTTCCCAATTAGAAAAAGGCACCTTAGGGAACTCTGGTGGCCTAGTGGCAAGATGCTGCACTGCAAATCCAGAGGTACATGGTTCGAATCCACCAGATGCTCTGCTGGAGAAGGAAAGGCAATCTCCTCCTGTATCAGTCAGATCTGATTTGACGGTACATGTAAAAAATAATACAATGGGGGGAAAAAGGCACCTTGTGGCTGCTTTTAAAGGCGGCCCTGACCAGTATAATCAGGTCAAGTACGAGGTCCACGAAGGAAACAGTCTGCAGACGACCGACCGTACAGAAACCAGGGACAAACCTGGGGCCTCGGTGTGGCTGTGGGAGGCTCCCAACACGAGGGCTGACTCGCCCCTGGTCCTGGTGCCCAGCTCAGGCACCAGCACACCCGGGGGACCCCAGAAACTCACAGAGCAGGGAACGTGTGGATGGACACATGTGGATGGACAGGCGGTGGCCTCCCCTTGGGGCGGAGACAAGGGGGATGCTGGGGACAGACACGGGGTGGGACGGGGCTGCTCACCGAGTGGAATCGTCGTCCCGCTACCTTCTTTCCCCACAAAGAGCCCGGAGGCTTCCGGCACATTCCGAGGGGCCCCCGTCTCCGATGACTGATTCGGGGAGCTCGTGGGTCCCTGAAACAAGAGGCCGCATTGCAGGTTGAGAGAGGTGAGCGAGCTCCACGCACGTTCCTCCCGCTGCCCCTTCTGGATTATCGTCAAACCCGGTGGACGGGCTGCCCCCGCAAGCCCGCATCTGTCCACTTCCCACGTACCCAGAGTGGCCAGCCAGGCCGTGCCCCGCCATCCTTC